CACTCGAGTTGAAATTCATGCAACTCGAACTAAACTCGAGTAAGCGGGACGAAACAGAGTAAATGATTTGTTACAAATCACTTTTATTAATTTATTTTTCTATCTAACTCTTTGGTGGGTTGAGTCAACTATCTTTACTAAACTTAGTAGGTAGTAAAAAGGTATATTTAGTATGTATTATATACTTGTGTATTTTTGGTTTTAATCAATATTAGTAAGTACCTATGCTTAAAACAAAATTAGCTTCATAGCAGTCTTCACAAAACAACATTAGTCTAGTTTTAAGATGTAGGTAAATAAGCTATTTCATAGTTCAAATATTTTTAAATAACTTAGCTGTCATAAAATTACAGCTCAAAACTATAGGTTAGAGAATTTGTAATGTAACCTTTTGTCATTTACCAATAAAAAATTGTTTTAATTAAAATTGTTTTGCTTACCTCAAACAAATAGCTAATCTTTCTTCTGGCGTTATAGCGTTCCGATATTTAGAATCTTGTTTAGTAATATCTCCGATAATCAATGATAACATCATAAAACTGAACTCTTGTAACACGATAATATAACTGAAATGTTCATCATCTATCTCATAAAATAAAGTTCTAAACTCTCCACTTGTGTGCCGAGATTGAATGTGTTGACATATCCAAGATCTGGAACGTCTTTTTCTTAAATAATAATAAGTCAGTAGTAATCTTCTTTTTCTATGTGTAACATATTCATCATCGGAACTTTCTTCATCGATTATATTCACAGCGAGCGACGTCCGTCTAATTGAACTACGCAACACTGACTGAGCTTTGGCTTAGCTTAGCCTAGCTTGCTTGGCATAGCTTAGTTTAGCCTTGGCATAGCTTAGTTTTCGGTCTGCAACCGGCTTTAGACCAGAGTTAATAAGCACTACACACTGATGCTGACAGGTTATTCTAATACCTTATTATATTACGACGAAGCAAAACGTTTTATCTGAATACCTAATCTCCACTATGAAAGGATGGGATCTAACGCGCGTCTTATTTCCTGTCTAGCGATCCGGCGCGGCATCGTACGGGTGATTTTTGGATTTCGACAACATATGTATGTATTAAATATGTACAAACCTTCCTCTTGAATCATTCTGCCTATTGATGAAAACCACATCAAAATCCGTTGCGTAATTAAAAGATCTAAGCATACAGACTGCGGGAAGCGACTTTGTTTTATACTATGTAGAGCTGATGGAAAAACGTGAGCGTTAAAACATGCAATTCCTGCCTAACTTTCTATTCAGTCCAGTCAGCCATTCGGTTACCTCATGTCGTAGGTATGTCACCTATGCCTATATCCTCAAATTATTATATACTAATCTATGTTCAATGCTTTCAGCTCAACAATTTGGTTTTAATTAAATCACTCATCCATAAGCTTTGGCGCGTAAAAGCGGCGTAAGCGAACCCATACACTGCATTTTGTATATTATGGAAATTGCAGGCACATTTGTGTTTGATATCTATCATTAAGTCCCACAGGCAGGCACAGCTATTGCTCCAGTTGGAGTCTATTTCAATATGAGATTAAAATGTCAATGTCTATGGGCCGCACCAGCGGCTCTCACCAACAGGTGAACTATGCATCCATTTTTCACCCTTCCTATCTTTAACTTGGTGATATATATAATATAAGACTCAGATCTTTTAAAACTCACGCTGATATAAAAATAAACTTTTGTTCTAGTATTTTAATTGATACATAGGTATACACAATTATTAACTATAGTAACCATACAGAACAATATTATGTAATTACACTTTATAAATAATATTAAATGCTTACGAAGAATCCTAAGTTAAAAAAATTCATAATACATTTTTATTATTGATTCTTACATTATTAATGTCATGACATATTGATATGAAAATTGTCTAAAAATGAAATAAAGACATTTATTTATTAAAATATTGCAATGGCTTACATTTCCGACTAGATTATTATTATCAATACAATTACTACTATATTGTAAATTCATAAATTATGTAAGTGTCCGTATCACACCCACAAAAGTTAGGAAAACAGTTTTTTACACAACATCCAAGTATGCAAAATGTTACATATAAGTATTATCACCACAATAGCGTAATATAACCATTATTATTCATATAATTCATTACTCATGTAATAGCGGGCAATAATAGCTGAGTGATAGCGTGTTCTCGTTATTTATTCATTTTAACATCACACTTATAAAATTTTCTATTTTTTTAATAAAAGAAATTATTACAAATATACAGACTTGCATATCATAAAATATTTTAGACATTTACATATTGTGTTAGCCTTGTGTAAACATTGCATTTAAATGGAATCTATAAAAACGCATCTAATATAATATTAAAACGTATTGAGAAAAACTATATCTTTCTCTCAATATGTTTGAAATCAACCCTCCTCCATATTAGGTACGTAGCTCAGAAGCTAAGGCCGACATTCAGAGCCAATCTCGAGTTTAGGCTCAAACTTCACGATGTGTAAATTTTAGTCTAGAACAACATGTTACATAAATGCCGACTTGTCTCTAAATGCCAGCCCACTCGCCGTCAAATTTCATAGTACGCAAGCAACCCGAGGTCGTTCCGCGCCGGCACCAATGATATTGTGGCGGCATGTAGGTTACTTGCAGCTTCTTCTCACAAGGTTTCCCGCAGTAGGGACTTGTTAAACGATGGTGTCTTAAATGACGTAGCTTTATTGACTTTTCAAATGTGCCTATTTTGAATAAAGATACTTTTGACTTGGAAATTATTAATGCTAATTCTAAATGCTAATTTTAAAACCGCGGAGAAGAACCGTGTAGTGGCGGTACACCAGCCCATATCATCCCATGGATATCGTAAGGTAGGCAGCAGCATCTCCATAATAAAACTGAAAAAAACTGGTTGCCAACCCGCTTGCCAAGCGTGGCAACTATGAGAAATATCCCCCCTATGAGACTATATAACTTATGGGGAGGCTGTTTAGCAGTGCATTTTAATAGCCTGTAACGGTAACGGAAGAAAATCATATTGAGGTAACCCTCATGTAGGGGGCAAAAAATATTTCATAGATGTGAAGTCCACCAAGACGAAATAAAGTAGCGCGCTAATTCCTGTGGAACTTCACAGGCTGTGAATTTATATATTATGTGTTTGTTACTATTTCATAGGTATATGACACCTTTAAATAAAATTATTAATTAATAAGGTAATAAAAAACTAGTGCCTCAAGAAAGAAAATCTTCACACAAGAAATTACTTTAAAATCATCCAATAGCTATACCCACATTCCAAGGATTACAAAACAAAATGGTTTTGACACACAAAGCGGACACTTACACACAGGCAAGATATAATAATACTTATAAAATTAATAAAAACGATACAATCCAATACGTACAAAATAAAATATTAAATGCAAACCCTACATAATCTTTACAAAACTGTTACACATTAACTTTCTGACAATACATTTTAATATGACACAAATTTGAACACAGATCTAAAATACACACAAGTGGCACAATGTGGTTGTGGCGAACGCACGGTACAAACTGCACTGCAATGATTTCACCTTACTTGGTGACCAGACGCGGCATGGACACTACAACGCATTGTAAAACCTAGGAGAAATTGAGGGTGACACTCAGACTAACGAATTTGACCTAAAACTCAAAAAAAAAAACAAATCAAACCTACCATCTACAGAAAGTACCAACAACCAAAACATGGCCCAAAACAATGCCGCTGCAAAAAAAGGTCTGTGATAAAAGATAAAACTTTTATCTTTATTTTTTGGGAGCAGAAGTATATAAATAGGCGAAGTTGCTAAAGTACTAGTATTTCATACAAAATATATTATGGCAGTTTTTCTAGTGAATCAACCTAATTATAATTTATAATTAACTTTATAAATTTTTATATTAATTAAATATTTGCTTGTGATTGTGATTTAGTGCACAATGAAAATTTTACATAGGATTTCTGAAGGAGTCAACATTAAGCGAGTCTCACACTTCGCAGATACGGTAAGATATATGTATCCGAGTGCACATCTTTCGATATTGATCTCTATGAAATTCAATGAACAAACACACAGCACAGATAATTTATATTTTATCGTCAAGTATCTATAGGCACCAATCTATATCGAAAGATGGTGACGATATCCGCTCATACAAATATAGCATAGGAATTCAAGTGCAGATAAATACAGGTGGTCGCTGAAAAAATGAAATTAAATTCGCTAAAGTTTTTTTTAAATTTTATATAACGTTATATATAATACTATTCTAAAGAGCTGTCTAGCAAATTAGAAGCAATATAAGGCAACTCATTGCATGTAACGTTGTATAAACAATCCACTCCAAAAAACATGTCTAGTATGTTTGAAGGATTTTGAGTGAATGTATCATTTCATATATTATTGTATCTGCGTTTTTATGTGCAGATAAAATATCATAGTAGTCTGTGACTCGCTTTACCCTTTATTTAAACTTATAGTATAAAATATAAGACATGAAGATATAGTGAAGGCATTGGATTAATAAGAACAAAATCTTACATCAAGCATACCTTCATCACGACTTTCACTTTTACTAATAATAAAATTTTGTGCACTTGCTGTGATGTTGTTTACTATATAAATATATTGAAAATTGCAGCATAAATATAATCAGAGTTGCATGCTGCAATGATGTTTACATAGTGATTGCAAATATTTACAATATATATAATTATTTAGGTAGTCATATTATTTACTTATGTATTCAGTGCTCTTGGCCTCAGGGTCAAGGCCAGGGTGACCATTTTCGAATAATTGGAAGCAAAAAGATAATACCACAAGTATAAGATTTATGCGACAAAACCGAATGCAAGTGCTCATGCAGAGTTGGTTTCTTAGCACATATGTAATAGCAACAAATTTTGGTTGCGTAGCATGGAGTTCATCTATGTAAAAATAGGTCGTAGTGAAATTCTTTGAAATTTGTTTTAAACCCATACTCCATGAGGATTTTTATTGGTGGGAGCAGCATTTTCCAATTGTCTTGGAGAACCAATTATTCTGCGGGCACTTCCAGTCTTACATCCTGAAAATAATCGTATATATTTTACATTGACATCCATTTCACATTTCAGTACATCTTTGAATAAAGAGTGGAGAAAATTTATCACCCAATCTCGCCCTATGGATGCCAGAAATTTCAACTATAAAAAATGCCAGTATTGTTTTTTTGGTCTATCAGCTTTAAGTAGAGTAATTAAGCAAACCCTTCCGAAATTGAGAGGTCCATGTCCCGCGCATATGTTGTATGCGCTGGTGATAAATAAGAAGACACCTTTTATTACCAACATACAAACAGTAAAAAAATATTATTTCATCACAATAAAAATAACCATACCATCCAAGGGATTACGCAGTTCATCCACACTGCCTGTGAGACTCTGAAGGTTGGCTTCCTTCATCTCTTGAACCAACCGTTCCACTTGACGCTTCTTCTCCATAATAGCATTTTCTAGTACGCCAACCTAAAATCCAATATAAGCCAAATACAGTAATCTTATTATATTTTTATATACAAACTCAAAACCTTGTATGATCATGATCATCATAGAATAGAATAATATAGAATAATTTTATTCAATATAGATTGAAAAATTGCTTATTGAGTCATTTATGCTTTTACTTTTACTTCTGCCAGTTTTGGACTTACATATCAGTCAAAAATGTTACCACATACATACCATATCAGTCAAAAACGTTACCACATTATTGGTCAAAGCAACAATCAGGTAAAGTTTAAAGTTATTATATACGTAACTAAAAAAACTAAAATGAGAATAATCAATCTTACAAAAAATCCATTGTACATTGTACGATCATACATCACAACATCCATCAACGAGATAAAAATTGGACCAATTATTATGAAATATATATAGCTTGCCAGGCAGACGATGTTCTGCCCCTTTCGATGACAATTTGTCATGTCCTATTATAAATCCTTAATTTCGCAAAAAAACTATCCTATCTCTCAAGTTGGACCAAACTGCACACTGTGTGCAAATTTGATTAAAATCGGTTAAGTAGTTTAGGAGTCCATCGCGGACAAACAACGTGACATGCAATTTATATATATATATATATATATATATATATATATATATATATATATATATATATATATATATATATATATATATATATATATATACAATATGTATCGTAATTAACGCACACCCTCAGACACCACAATTAGTACATTATGTTATAATCATAATACATATTACACTGAATTTTTAGTTAAACATTTTTATGCACTGATTATTTATCAAATTATAATATACTAATTCCGGAAGAATATTGTGGTCACAGTACCACGCCACGAACGCAAAACCTTTAACGTAATTGAAATAAAGTTCATTTTTCTTTATTTTTATTGAATGACAGAATTAGTAATAATACCTATAAAACTGCACTCTTAAAAGTCTTATTGCCTTAAGTTATGGTCCATTTCAGTTTGTTTTGACTGTACAGATTTAGTGTGACTGTAATTTACGTAGTTTTAATTATTTTTGGGATAAAAAATTACCTATATTAAAAATGATAGGTATCTATTCAGTAAACGATTCTGAACAAACTACTTTCTCGAAAGTGCGTTAATTATGTTACATGTTGTATATATATATATATATATATATATATATATATATATATATATATATATATATATATATTTTCATCATCATTACAGCCCTTCACAAGTCCACTGCTGAACATAGGCCTCCCCCAAGTAATGCCACAAAAATAAAAGTTTAGTATATATATATATGATATGCTATTAATTCAAAATGCAACAAAAACACCTACCTCTCTCTTTAGGTTTTCGGCAGTTAGGTGGTTAATTTCGGTGGCATGCTTCGCTTGTTGTATCTGAGTTTGCAGATTCTCCATTTCAGCCAGCATTGAACGTTCCAAAGCTTGCCTGAAATACAAATTAATTATTCAACAAATGGATTATTTTTCACCGCTGAACATACGCCTCCCCCTTAGATTTGAAACAGAAACAGAAACTTTTTTATGATTATAACTATCAATGTAGATTATACTTATTGAAAGTCACTTTTTTCATTTACCACTGGTTAGCAAAAAAAACCTCTGTCCTGGGAAGAACCAGCAAGAAACCCAGCGGGACTATTAATTTTTCCAATAATAGCTTGCAATCATGTTTACAATTAGCAACACAAGACAAATTAGAAATAGCTTAGTAGCGATCACCCTTCCCAGGGGTTATTATCATCCATAAATTCCTTAATATTTAATAACCCTTTTTATACAAACTTAGTTTAATAACATTTTTGAACTTTGTGTATGACAAATTTTGTATATTTTCTGGGATTTTGTTGTAAAATCGTATCAATCATAATCAATCGCCCCAAGAATGAATTACTGAATCGGTGGAGTCGAGTAACTGGTACCACTAGCTTGTGTCTGTTCCTAGTATTTACAGAATGAATACCACTTATTTTCGCAAAACTAAACTAAACTTTTATTTTTGTGTACGTACATTACATTTTCATAAATGTATTGAGAGGCCAGAGTTAATATATTAATTTCCTTAAATTTTTGTCTCAGTGACTCTTTTGGTTTTAAATTATATATTGCTCTAATGGCCCTCTTCTAAGATTAATTTCTTTTAAGACTAAATCCTTGAGGAGGATATTTGAAATAGTTTCCCAAGCCTGGTAAGCAGGTTGGCAACTGCAACTTTTTATTTTCGAGTTGTTATCTGGAAGATTCTGCTGCCCATCTCCTGTTTCATTTTCCAACAGCCACCTCTTACAACACCCTTGGGATGATATGAAGTTGTGGATTCTCTTACTACTATATACACATACATCTATGAGATAAAACGATCAGCACTTCACCACAATGGTAACAGGGTGGGATGATATGAAGTTGTGGATTCTCTTACTACTATATACACATACATCTATGAGATAAAACGATCAGCACTTCACAACAGTGGTAACAGGGTGGGATGATATGAAGTTGTGGATTCTCTTACTAATACCATACAGCGAAAATAAAATAATGACTCATAAATTTAGAGACAAAGGGTATTTGTAGCTCAAAGAAAATGCATCAGAGCCATATGTGGGATTCCACCAGGCGAGTCCTGTAGAGCATCTGGAGCCTAGGCTTAAATATGTTGCCAGCACTGTACATTTTTGAAATGAGTTGCTTTGTCAAAAGTCATACTGAGCTCTTCCAGAAATCCAGAGATATAAACTCTCGATGGAAAAGATATCCGGATAGATTAGTGTTAAGCGTCATTCCGAAAAAGTTGTTTAGCAATGTGTGTTAAGGTATAGTACGTTTCTAAGTCAGGCGGAAAAAAGTACATTGACCTTTGACGATATCATCGGGGTAGGCAATCTTTTTTGTTTAGGTTCATTTTTTTATCCTTTTATCATTACATACAACATCAGAGTGAATGCGAAGTGCGAAGTTCTTTACAGACCCTATGTCTATTATTATATAATAAAAAAAGAAGATTATCTTGTACCTAAATGAATTAAAAAGCAAATTAATATTAATTTAAGTTTATTATTCATAAATCATGAGGTATTACAATTTTCATAATTACGTTAATAGTAGGTAAGTACTTTAATGAGTGAGATGAGAGAGAGAGAGAGAGAGAACAACCACTTCTTGGCAGTCAGGTAAAAAGACGAACTTTTAATGCTAAGCATTCTTAAGCAGCCAACTCTCAAGCATGTATAAAACTTCTCATAATAGATTGTCAGAGACACTTGACAGACTATTCATCTGTTTCAGAATCATTTTATGATGATGAAGACGTAGAAGAGTCCGTCACATTGATTATAACCTGAAATATCGCAGTCTTCTTTTTCATATCCGTTTTGGATGGGTATATGTCACTAGACCACGTTTCTTTTATATATTTATAGATGTTTACAATCATTATTTTTTCGGTTTCCGAAATATGCAACACTTTCCGCTTCTTTCGTGGTGACGTAAAGTCTTTATGAGATTTTCATGTCGATAAAACTGATTTCATACTAGTGATAATATACAAAACGTCACAAAACAATAACAAAAACTTTAATACAAAACGTAATAATATAACAAACAAAACAAACTTAATAAAAATTAAAACAACTACTATAACCGAAAATTTTAAATCTCAAACTATCTAAACGCAAGTGCATCCCAAAGCAGAATGAGGAATGAGTTTCTCTGAATGACCACTTCCTTCACCCTACCCCGTACCATGAGACGCGCTCAACGCATAACGATACGTAATCTACAAAGAAATGTATGGAAGCAATAACTGTCGTTTCGTTTCGATGCTAACATAATACTTGAGGTACAATGTACTTTTTTCCGCCTGCCCTAGAAACATACTATATATAATAAGATCCCCAATGACATCAAAAAACTCAAGATGAATTTATTTAAATCGAGACTCTATAAGTGGCTTATTGAATCTTACAAGTGTATGTCATTAAAGAATTTATTGGCATTAGGCTTTAATAATTATTGACTTGCTGATATTGATTTTTATGAATGTAGTTGACTGTTTTTGAAATAAATGTTACCTGAAATGTTATATAACATAAACTTAAATTTGCATGCTAATTAAACAAACACCATGTTTTAAGGAAATAAAGAAATTATTATTATTATTACATACACAAAGGAGCCTACTAAGCGCGGCAATTATTCTCTTATTGATCAGCCCTATTGTTCAATAGTGGTCTTTTGATAAGCTCTAATGATGATATTGAATGATGACATACACAGAAACATATTATGTAATCTTGAACATGTTTCACAGCAAAATATATTACAAACATACTACCTAAATTTAATATTTAGCAGCACACTTCAAACCGTCGACAACTGGTAAGTTCATTTCATCCCAGTAGCTACTCCAGCGTTGTTGTGGAGTTTTTGAACTGTTATTTACTGCTTACAGGTGGCCACTTTCTCAACTATTCTACTATGGGAGTTGGTACTCCTTACTTCTACACTCCATAAACATATACTTATTATAAATATGAGCCATTTTGATATATAAATAAAGAATTTGTTAATAATTTCAGTACAAGGCCACCTATCGGATTTTAGAACACCTATGAACTATCATATCGACAGTAAAATATATTGTGTGAACATGACCTTAATCGATTAAATCGTTCAGAAGTTACATGATCACTAAGAGACACATGAACGATTAACGATTATATATATATATATATATATATTAAATACAATATATTTAATTTTTATTAATTTAATTAATATTAATCATTAAGAAAAAGCTCTCAAGGACACATACCTATTTTCTTGCTGACGACTGCTAATAAGCCTCTGCTCATTGTGAATATCCTCCATCAACTTTCGAATCTTATTTTTACATTGCAATAACTCTGTTTCACAATTGGCTAATTTAGATCGTACTAGAACAATCTCCGACTTTATTGTCTTTTCATTCTGTTTCACTATTTCACTCTCCTCTTCCACATAGTTAAGTGCTTGCACCTAATAATTGGACGAATTATATACCAACCATAGTTTTGTAAACTATTCAAATAAAATAAGCAAAAAAGTCTAACTTAAAGAAATTACATTATTCGTCAAAACAACTAAGGAGCATAGACGCCGAGTTACGCCGAAACCGAACTAAAATCATGCTCATCTTATTGTAAGAACACGCACTCGCGCACACTTAAGGTGATACCTCGAAAATTTGGTGGTTTTTTTATTTCACATATTTTTTTACGTTAGTCATATACTAAAATTTTATTTTGTAATCTATAATTACAAAATAAAATTCTAGTATATGATTTTTGACTATATGAGCTTGGATTGCATAAAAGGAAAACACGATATCATGTAATTTTCTCGATAGAAAAAAATTGCAAAGTAGGCTAATTAGTTACATTTCTAAGTGTCACCATAATATTTGACGAATAAGGTCATGGAATTATATTTAAGACATAGTAAATAATCATATCTAAGTTCTCATAAACCATTTTTTGATCCATAACGTTTTGTTAAAAAAAATTAAAATGTTGCTTGGCGCTTACGTAGTTTTTTTCCGAGCGCGTGCTCGGTATAGTTATCTCATAATTTGCGTATTATGAAGTCATTGTATCACTTTCATCTTGACACTCCCTCAGTCGTCCGTGAGCTTTACCGACAAAGGAATAAGCAGCCCACTAGATTAATTTTAGGTATCCTTTAAGCATCTAATCAATTGTATAACCGGGTTTTACGTGATAGAGCCAAGCTACAGCTATATTATGTTCGGATTTCGAATGGGTCGCCTCGACCGGGGGAGCACACACCACACACCACACACCTCGAGTGGGGACCACACTCTCACAGAATACCAGTAGCAGATTTAAATAAAACTAGTTTTTACGGATTTTATCGCGTATATTTACTTATTTTATATTCCCAACGTTTCGAGCACTTTTATATCTGTAACAATATTTCATTTTTAAGTAATTTAAACTGGAGGTAGCCGTGGTTAACTATGACATTGGGACGTCTAATACCTCTGCCTCCCCCGTGACCATGGGTGCTGTAAAGTGCTCGAAACGGGGATATAAAATAAGTCAATATACGTGATAAAATCTGTAAAAAGTAGTTTTATTTGAATGTGTAGTGTTCGCGTAAATATAAAAAAAATATTATACCAGTAGCAGCTTAATACTGCAGTGTTTCGTATGATGAGTGTAGAGAACCGGTGACTATTTATACTAGAAACGAGGCATTCCATCTTAGTCCTCTGGAGTTACAACCCATTTTTATTCTTAATCTATAGACCAGAGCATCCACTTACCATCAGGTGAACTGTTTGCTCGTTTGTCACCCTTATTATCCTCTCGACTGTCCAAAAGCTTCTAAAGGTCGCTATTAAAAAAGTACCCGTCTGTCCACAACCTTTAGAAGGTTGCAATTCACTTATAAACTTCAGACACGAAACAGCCGTAGTAAATGTATACGTATCACCCTCTAACTCGTACAAAATTGTTTTAATGTCATTAACCTACTTATTTCGGTATGGAATTGTCGCTATTGAAGTACAAAATATACCTTTTTTGTGCCTGTTTCGGGTCATCTTAAGTGGTCCACATTATTGTCGAGTTTGTGGTGTAAACAAATGTACGCGGAGTTGTGTTTTTTTATTAATTATTGTAAAGTGTAATTATCTTATTGTAAATAAAACAAATATTTGTTGAAATAATAATTGTTATTATTTTTTTACATTTTTTTACTCAACGAACTGGAAAAAATCGCTTCTATCATTTTTATCATGGAATTTAGAAAATATAAAAAGGTGAACGTACACATTTACACATATTCTATTAGCTTACTCAACAATAATTCTAACAATATATTATTTTATACAGTTTCCATACATAATTATTGATATTTCCATTTTAATGACACGCGCCACGTAGGCAATAAATCAATCGTTTAGGGTTGGACAGTGTGCGTCAAAACGGGCATTTTGGCCGGGACAGTTGAGAGGATATAGAATAATAATAATATTTTTATATAAAAAGATGAATATTACGTGTGTCGATCAGGGAACTCTTAAAAAACGAAAGTAAAATAATGTGTGAGTGCCTATCAAGAAGTTGAGCATGGTTTCAGGGTTACTGACTGCTTCGTCTATCTTTCTTTGTTGGACTAAAATTAACACGATGGAATAAATCGTACATTGGATTTGCAAATTATTATAATCTATTTTTAATTTCCTTTACATTGACTTTGTTACATCATACAGTCAGTGAAATATATTATACAGTAGAAGCTGGATATACAGATATTATAGTCTAGGAGGAATCTATTCCACCTCAATTTCTTTATGCGATTCTCTTCACATCTTCTTACTGATGATATAAATGTATGTTGCCATGGGGCAACTGAGTGCTATTTTGTTGATATTGATTTTTTTTAACAACTTTTTATTTATATTTTTGATAAAATACATACTTTTTACGATAAAGTTAATATTTTCAGAGTTGCCAATTTTTAAAGGTAGAAAAATCTTAAATTCGGACTTACTTTTGACCCATTAAAAATATATAAAGAAAAAGAATAATATATAGATATTTTATGTAAAATAGGTCTTATGACTTTTTACGATAAGATTAATATTTTCGGAGTAATTGATTTTTAAAAGTTTGTCAAATCCCAAATTTGGATACTTTTTAATCATTAAAATATATATGCTCAGCAGTCACACTACTGTAACAGGCAGTCACTTATAGCGCCATAATAGGTTAAATAGTAGTAATAAAGATAAAACTGCTTAATGTTGAAATACATCAACAGTCAACACCCCACTAAAGATGTCTCTTTAACTGTATTTTTTATTAGTGTTTGTGATAGCAATAATAAATAATGTATAGCATATAAAAACCAGAAATACTTTAATAAGCAAAAAATCAGGCAGCAACAGTTTCACGAGTTGTAATAACATGAAACATTTTATCAAAAATGATTACCTGCTCAGTACTTATTCGCAACTGATTATCGGCAGAGCTGATCTGCTGCTGAAGCATTTCAACCTGCCTCTCTTGTTCACGGCCTTTGTTCTCCCAATAACCAATTTCTGCATCATACTAAAACACAAAATTCTAAAATGACTAACATCTAAGAACTTTGAATGATATGATGAAGGATCATGATTGATAAGCCCCTAGAATGAGGTGATCGCTACCATGCTATTTCTAAATGTTTTCATAACAATTGCATGAATATTATATTGTAAGTATGCTTTTAAACAAAAATTCCTGCTGCGTTTATTGCTGGTTCTTCCCAGGATGGAGATTTTTCTCAGAACCAGTGGTAAAAGTAAAAAATCAATAAGAATTACATGTAATCAATATTAAATAAAAATTATTATATTCTATTCTATTCTTTAGAAGCATATAGACCATTTTTCTATAACTAATACAGGTATGTATTCTAAGAAGGCCTCGATCTAAGAAATATCAGTATTTAAAGTATTATGTTTGTCTTGGAGCTTACAATATACAATTCTATAAAAATTACAATGGATTTATCAGTAAAATCATTTTTCACTTAAACATTAGGTAAAGACTCTATTATGACTCATAACATTATATCATCATTTTCAACCAACTTTAAAAAAAGAGAAGGGTCTCAATTCGACAGATTTTTCTACATGTGTACTTTTTTTATTTGAAATCTGGTGCTTCTCATGTGGTCCCATATAATTTTGATCAAGATCTAACCAGTAGTTTTTTAATTATACTTAATAACGCGTATTTAATTGACTTCGAATATATTGATGATTTTCTCATTTTATTTACACTAAGTCGGTTGTGCAAAAATTTTTAATTTCAGCACTTGTTTATTCACTGTTGGATATAGGCTTATTTAAGAACTTGCTAATTGTCCTGCATAACTAACTCTGATCAAATAATTTGCTTATTATTTATTGTAAATCCTTGCCTTAATAAGATCGACTTGCTGACTGGACAACTTCTCCCTCTGATAGTTCACAAGGGAAACTAGTTCACGATATTGGCTATTGTAGGTAATAGCTTCTGGATTTCTTGTGTCTTGGTTCTCATCGGGCAAATTGACTGGTGACATATGTGATGGCCGACTGATCCGTGTCCGATTGGGTGACTTTCGTAAAGCTTGAGACGGCGGGGGTGGCGAACGGTAAGGAGGAGGTGGATCTCTGTCAATTTGATTAAATTATGAAATATTTATAATTTAGAGTTCAGTAAATAATTCACACAAAGTTGCTTGTTAAAATTTCACAAGTATATTCAGCATAAGTGTTGTAAATACTTATTTGTTAAGAAGTCAATATGTAAAATTTAGTTTATGGAAATTAAACTATTCTATTAGATATAACATTTTATGTTATAAATAAAATAATAAGATCTCGGTACAATCTAAGAAACATAAATCACAGCATATATAGTTGTATATAGATCCATATACCAAATATTTTGCTCAAAAATCAAATCCAGGTAGTATTCAAGCCCTGATCCTAAATAGTCCTAGTCATGACTTTTGATAAAGTGTTCAGTCACATAAAGGTAAGTAATATTAATGATTCAATGTTATTAACAAATGACAATAAGAAAGTCAAAGAAGAGATATTAGATGTTTTTAGAGTAATTTTTAAATCAAGGAAAGGCACTAATCATAGCGGGATGTAATGAAGTTATGTTTAGTGTAGGACATTGAAATCCTCAATTATACAGGTATTTGTGTAAACATAATTTAGTTTTACACGAAAAACAATAAACCTTAAAGATTTCACCTAGAAACAAAATAAAATCCCCTCACAGACTTATGATTAGTCAAAGATATAAATACAAAAATGTTACAAATCGCTTACTATTTAACTACTAAGATAAAAACAGTTATAAGGCTTAACATATTTACTAGATGTTAAATGAAAACATTTTTTTTGAATATAACTTTATTCCCGTGAAAATAAAGTTGTAATTAATTGTCTACTTTAAGTCTTATCTAAACAATTTTACCTGTAAGGTGGAACATCTTTTAACACAGGACTATTGGACTCAGGTGTCTTAGCTTGTTGGACTCCCTTCACCACTCCTACAGGGTACCCAGGGGATGTGTTATTCACATTATTGTTAAAAGATGGAGTTGAATTTGCTCTATTCGGTGAGGTTTGATTGTCTGGTACATTAGAATTTGAGTTGTTATGACTCCTAGCAGAAATAAAACAGATGTTAAAAACAATTAAACAAATTGCTTAAAATGAAATATTTGATAAATTTATCCATAATCATATTGTGTTATTAATAACCCTATTAAGGAATTTTATAAAAGTTGATCCAAGCTACATATGTTTTATTAAAAAAAATAACACAAACCCATTTCCTATAGGAGACCTAGTATTATTAGGTTGTGATGGTTTTTGGTTATTACTTGAATCTGACCTCCTCAAAATAAATTGTATGTCATTGGAATACTCTCCCCATTTCATAAGGATCTGTAAAAAAGAAAAACCTTCATATAGAGTTTAATTCATTAGGATGAACATGTAATATGATGACATTATTAATATTAAGAAGCCTTTGAATTTTCTTGCGTAAATTTAAGATTTCAATAGTTATTTTCGCCATCAGCAATGTTCTTTTATTACTTGTTTACTGTTAACAATAGTGCCATTCCTCTTCTTGTGTCTTATAGTTACAACACGTACGAATTAACTTGAGACTCCGCTGGAATGCGACCCCCTTCCCGACTCCCCGCACCGCGTCCCGCGCTGGCCGTGCGCGCTCAGTGCCGATAGCATTTTTGTTACGGATACGCGTCTCGACTCTAGTTCGATATTTTTGATACGTATTGTGTACGAATCGGTAACACTTTTTATTGTGCAATAAAGTGTATAATAAATAAATTAATAATATTATAAATGAGAAAGTGTGTTATTTCTTTGTCCTTCCTTGACGCGTTAACTAAAAATAATATTATATATATTATAAAAAATAAATATTTAAAATATATAAAAATGGCAACAGTATATCACTTATTACTTCACCCCTTGCCAGAACATTTTATTTTGTTTTTATTAATAATCTCATGCAAATCTCAAAAATTTCAAATAAAAAAATATTACGACGCATTATTTTGCACACCGTACATTGACAATTACGTCATCGGCCCAGGTCTCAAGTTAATTCGTACGAGTTATACACTTTTCTAGTTTTATTCTCTACATAGTATAAAACAAAGTCACTTTCCGCCATCTGTTTATTACTACTTAGATCTTTTAAACTATGCAACAGGTTTTGATGCGGATTTCATCAATAGACAGGTAGATTCAAGGGGAAGGTTTATATTTATAATACATGCATATGTTCTCGATTTTTCGAGAACATATACTCGTCGAAACTTGGATTGATCACCAGTTCCACATAATTTACAGTAAATACTTACAGAATTTATTTTTTATCCAATTTCAATCTTATTTGCAATCAAAACTGTTCGACGCAAATTTAATGATCAATTTTCATTGTTTCATTTAATTCCAGTAAATTCTAAAGTTATGAAGCAATAGAGTAAAAGTATTTATTACCTCATGGAAATAAATAAACGGAAATAAGCCTAAAGGTTAAAACTTAAATTCTTTCACAACTAAGACAACCCTTTTGTTAAAATATCAAGCCTTTTAGACTACAGTGCCTGCCAAAAAAATAGACATACACTTATCCATACATTCATACATACATATTATATACACTCGGAAAACATTACAATCAGGCAGGTTTAAGCCTATTAGCTTTTTTTAAGTAGAATATGTCATGATTCATGATCCATTATGATTATAAAACACAATTTTATCAAATAAATTAACATTTCCTCAATTTTTTTTTCAATATTATAAGAGAAAATTACAATAAATAAATTAAACAATTATATATTCCAAGTAATTGCAGATCATATCTAAGTATAACAAAAGTGCTTTTCGATCTAGGACCTATGCAGAAATTTTTCATAGTAATGGATTAGGGATGCCAGATCGTAAAACTAAAATATCCGAACAAAATTTGAAAATGTCAGAATTTTGGGGTTGTTTTTCGGGAAAAATTAAAACTGAGACTATTTTTTAAATTAATAGGCTACAAAAATGCTTGAGGTTGTTGACACATAACTAATTTAAAAACATTTAGTTTTTAGATTAGATACCGCATGTATTTGACGTTGGAATTCACTGAGTCCACTAATTTGGATCCTATAGTAATATTTAGAAAATATTTAAAATTTAATCAATTTACTTCAAAGTTCAGTCTAAATACTAACTCAGCTTAAATCTATTAAATCTAAGCTATTAAATCAAAGGCAACTATAATGTGAAGAGAAGCCGTTTTGTCTGGAGATTTTGTTTTGTTGGGAGTCTGGAGATTATTTAAAATGTCAGGAGAATCCAGACAAATCCCGAGCATCTGGCAACTCTATAATGGATAGACTCAAAACAGTAAAAAAAGTCTTGTTTCCATAACTATTTTGTTACATCTTAGTATATAATTATTAGTGTAGCTCCTTGACAATATGAGTACTTATTAATTTTATTTACTTGATGATTTTTATTTATAGTAAAGGATCAAAAAACTCAGAACTTGCAGAAATCATTAGAAGTTAAACTGTTAATAAGCTAAGTGGAAGCAAAACAACTCACTATAATTGAAGATGTTTTAATAAAGTTTTATACATTCAGAGTTAATCAATCTTTGTAAAGCTCAAGCTGATATTTTTGTAATTTATGTTACTGACTAATTAATATTGTTATTCATACATTTTAAATACCTAGATTTATAACCACCTCTGACTACCAGCCTAATAATAGAGATATGGTCTAATAATATGTGTTCAAATATGCATTTCGTGGTGTTTCATGTATTTGCACATCATTGGCTCGCATTATTCACCTTACATTTGAATTGTAGTTTTTATTTGCTACAGATAACATTATACAGATATCCACATGCAAAATTTTAAATATTCTTGTTACCCTTTTTAGTTCAGTTAACATAGTATGCAAGGCTGTTTGGATAGTATGAAGGTACTGCCACTGCCACTTAAAGATAAGATAGTTAAAGAGCATTGTCAGTCTTTTTTTTAATTAAAAATGGGCTTACTCTTGACCTCTATCTGTCCTGGGGTAAAGATGAGGTCTACAATAGAGTGAACTCAGGAGAAACCTGTTAACATGCACCTTGAAGAGGTCCAGGTTATAGGTACTCAGAAAAACAGACACCGGCTGGGCATTCCACTCCTTAACTGTGTGCATTATATAAGATGATTTAGAATAGTGCGAATATTAGGAATGTCAACCAAGTGTGGATGGTAATCTGCAGTACATCTGGTAGTCCAATAGGCGAATGGAGATGGCAGTGTAAAATTATGAAGCTCATAGGTACACTATCTGAAATATAATCTCTAGAAGACCGAAAAATGAGCAACTAGCGGCAGAGCTAACCTGTGAAGCTTAGTTTCCACCAGTTTTTTGTCGCCAATAAGCCCCTTGACTCTGCATTCCACTGAGTCGAGTGCAGCAAGTTGATATTTTAGTGAGCCATCCCAAAGATATGGTATACAATACTGCATGCACATTCGGACTTGAGCTTTGTATAATATTAGAAGCTGACCAGGCGTGAAGTATCACTTCACCTTGTTTATCATACCCATTTTTTTGGCCGCAGCTTGTGCTTTCAACTCAATGTTAGTGCTAAAGTTGAAGTTAACACTATAGTGCAAGCCCAGAAGTTCAAGATGATCAGTAACCTCTACAGATATACCTCGAATGTAGGAGTCAGATCAAATGGACTCTGTTTTGTGGAGAACAGACATGCCTGGCGATGTCTTGGTGATGTAGAAAGTGACCAAATTGTCATCACCCTAGTCTCAAAAATAGAGAGAGAATGCATGTCTTTGATTATACTGACCATTTTTCCAATCTTACTAAAACGGTACAGAAGATAAACTGTTTTAATTTGACTTAACTGCATAGAGCACAAACACCAAAGCAACATGTTACGATGCACAGTAGCTAATCTAGCAATTGGTCACATGCTAAGCTTCAAATTAAAGTGCTGATAAGATCGAAGGATGTCGTCTTGCAAGATGGACACAGTCAAAAGAGATGGGGCTATGGAATGCAATGCAACTTAAGGGGGCTGTTAGTCTATTACATGTTTTTGTTAATAATTTACCTTTAAAGGATATTCCTGAGGAGCTAAAAGTCGTTCATTATTTCTCCATCTCTCTATTAAAGTAAATCGGCCCACTTTTCCCGTAGCATGAGCAAGTGCGAAGACTACATCCTGTTGAGTAATATTTTTAAAATAAAAATATAAGGACAATAAACGAGGTTTATTATGAAATTAAGATAGTAAAAACCCATATATTCCCATTAAATAAATAAAATTTTAACTGCAAGCATAATAAGTTAAACTAAACTAAACATCAACAACATAGGTAGTTAATATCAGTACCTAAAACTTTCATATAATAACTTTTTAACTTGCATATTATGATAAATCTAGTAATAACAATAAAGAGCAGAAAATACGGGGAGAGGATTGATTTACTCACTTGACATGTAGTCGTCTCCGTCACTCCACAAACAATCCTTTGTATTCCTTCAACCCAGACCTTCAACTCCATTAATTTCCAACAATCCACTCAGCTAAATACAAGCATAATTTACTACGACACCATTATACGTGTTATTCACCCCGTCTGTGAGTTTTTTATTAAACAAAACAAAGTAAAACACGAAACAAACATTCCAAAAACAATAGAAAATATGTAATCGAAGTGGGTTAAGAGAAAATTCGTTCAGAAATAATTAATTTGACGTGAGGAATTTCGTTTCTGAAAACTTATTTTTCTTATATCTAATTCATAGTGTGTCTAATATCTATTCCAGGTATATAATGTACTCTGTGCTAATATCATAACCACAGAGTACTTTCTAATATATTGAAATAAAACTAGAAATACAACATCATGCTAGATCCAAAGATGTTTTATAGGTAAAAACATCTTTGTGCTAGATCGTTACACAGCACAGCTTCATAGCAGTTTTATACTAAAATTCTAATTTAAGGTTTTCATCAGATTAATCCAAAATAAAAATAAAAATATTTTCGGATTATTCGAAGTACTCTGCCTAGAGAGTACTATATTCCTTGGCTTGGTACTCTGTGACTCACAGACTACTAATAGGTGCTGTGACGTAGACAGAGAAGGGTTCTCTGTTTATAAAAAGATACTCTATGGTGCTGTAAATGATATGTACTAAAACGAAACTGTAAGTTTTGCTGCGTAGACAGAGAATCCTAGCATTCTCTGTCTACGTTTTATTGTAAGTCCACAGTCTCTAGCATGGAGGTTCTAACCTCCATGGTCTCTAGTATTTATACAGTAATCTATGGTCTACACTAGAGATGAAGCGTATATACTAGAAAAGATCTTGGGACTAAGTATTTAACGAGACTAGGTAGCACCTATTCCAACTTTTAAAACACTCGATCCACCTAGTATCACTACGCGTCGCATGGTACCCTTTTTTTCTGAAAGTGTATGCAGTTGACCCTGCGGCTTTTACAGCTTCGTCGAAATAGACTTGTGAGTGAGAACCCACGAGCTATCGAGTGTAACGATCCTGCCGTCGCTACGTGCCTTCTGCGCTTCGCGCCGCCTCGCCAACTACAGTCCTTAGGCACCCCGACTCTTGCTTTTGGAGTGAGGCCCCTTAAGCTAGGAGGGGGCTCGAAGTGATTCAAGGGCCACTCTGAAGGAGGTACCGTGCTGAGTGGAAACGGGTCGCAACTGAAAACGCCCCGTAACGCGGTGGTTAAACCTCGTATACCGGGGTATGTATATGACCTCGCGCTCGCCGGCGAGCGCGGTGTGCCCTAGTGTTCTGCACTGTATGAATGTGTATGTATTGTGTTGATACTAGTTCCCTCCTCTCTTGAGGAAGTGGGGGTCAGGAGTAATCTATTCTTGGAGGTGATCTCGTCATCGAGGTCTAGAAGGACGTTATTAGGACGTCTCCTGGTGGGGCAGCATCCCCATCCGGGGAGAATCTTAAGGATAATTCCTTAAGATACGAAGAAATGGTGGGTAAATTGAGGTCACGGTGGAGATCCACGTTCCTCACATAGAATGGAGCTCCTGTGATATGACACAGGAACTTGTTTTGGACGACTTGAAGTCGCCGAATTTGACGAGGGTGGGCATGGGCAAAGGCAATACACGCGTAGGTCATAATTTGATGTACATAGGTTTTAAATAGATGCAGCTTGTGTCTCAAGGACAGCTTGCTCCGCTTGTTTGTCAAGGCGAAAAGGCGAAATGCTACAAATCTCGCCTTTTTATGACGGCTGACATGTGATGAGAGAAGCTCATCACGTGATCCAGTGTTACCCCCAGGTATTTCACCTCTTTAACCCAGGGAGTAGGGCTATGGTAGCGGGAGATTCTACCATTTCTTTGTCGTTTGAGTCTAAGTTTTAGATTTTTATAGCAAGCTTAAATGTTAAACATGATCGCTTTGCTTTTGTCAGGGTTGAGTTGGATTCTCCATTTTCTGCACCAATTGCCTAATGCGTTTACTGCAGCTTGAAGTCTAATACATACCCAAAATGGGCCGCTGTCTCATGAGTATATAGTTGCATCATCCGCATATAGTGCGAGATGAGCATCCGGCATTTTAGGAATATCACTCACTTAGAGTGAGTAAAGGATTGGAGGGAGCACAGTGTAAGTACCGGCGCGGCGAAGCGGGATAGCATTTGTTGCCGTTGTTACTATTCTGCTTTGTCGCTCTCTCGTATTTGCCTAAATCATTCATGTGTCAGTCATTTGAATTTGAACCATATTTCATAAAAGCAACGCGACGCGCTCTCGTGTTATGCAAGTATATATTGTCCTTTTTTAACTATACTATTCCGCAGTATTCTATCTTTGTCTGTCAATAGTCGAGACTAGTCGGGACTTCAAACAAATACTAGGAAGATTTTATACACTTGGTACTTGTAAATACCTAGGCAGCACTAAAAGTATCGGGAATGGAATATTTCCACTGTTCCTGTCATATTAAAATCTTTTTAATTGAAAACGCCTTGGTTTTAAAAATCGAATACCATTTATTTATTTAAAAAAAGATTCTCGGTTTTGTATTGTGTAAGGTTTTGTCAAACTTGTTTAGTCGTTGAGAAAATGGAATTGACCTGAGAAAATTCAAGAGCGATGATTTATTATGACTTTCGAAGTGGTTTAATACAAAAACAGTGTGTTGACCGGATGATTTCTGCATTTGGTGATGAAGCCCCATCGAAAACCACAATTTATCGCTGGTTTGCTGAATTTCAACGTGGACGTGTCAAGCTCAGTGATGATCCCCATCAAGGTCGTCCAAAAACTGCAGTCACCCAAGAAAACGTTGATGCTGTGCGTAAGCTGATTGAGGAAGATCGACTTGTGACATACCGCGAAATTCAGGCAACTTTAGACATTGGCATGAGTCAAATACAAATAATCTTGCATGAACAATTAGGTGTAAAAAAGTTGTTTTCCCGATGAATACCGCATTCGCTCTGTGAAGAGCAAAAAGCGGCTCGCGTTACTTGGTGCGTCAGAACTCTCGAAAGATTCCACGCAGGATCCTTAAATGCTGCATACATCGTATCAGGTAACGAATCCTGGATATACGCGTACGAACCCGAAACAAAAACCCAGTCACGAGTTTGGGTGTTCGAAAATGAGTTAAAGCCAATAAAAATTGTTCGTTCACGGAGTATTGCAAAAAAATGGTGGCCACGTTGTCTCCAAAATCGGCCATGTTACGACTATTCCTCTTGAGGGACAAAGAACGGTTAATGCAGAATGGTATGTTAGCATTTGTTTGCCACAGGTCGTTTCTAAACTCCGAAAAGAGAACTGCAACCGCCGCATCACCCTCCATCACGACAATGCGAGTTCTCACACCGCACACAGAACAAAAGAGTTTTTAGAGCAATAAAACATAGAAGTATTAGACCATCCGCCGTACAGCCCCGACCTAAGCCCTAATGATTTCTATACTTTCCCTAAAATAAAGAATAAATTGCGTGGACAGAGATTGTCATCACCTGAAGAAGCTGTGGACGCCTACAAAACGGCCATTTTGGAGACCCCAACTTCCGAATGGAATGGTTGCTTCAATGATTGGTTCCATCGTATGGTGTCAAATTTCGCGGAGAATACTTCGAAAAGCAATAAATACATTTTTAAATAGTAATGTTGTGTCACTTCCTTGATTCCCGAAATTTTCAGTGCCGCCCTCGTATTGATGCCGTGCTTGAAGAAATCAACTGGATGGGTGAAGAACGGAAGTCTGTAGGCACAAGGTGTGGTTGGTGCGGCCAATGACGGAGAGCTTCCTACCCCAGCTCTTGTGACTTGGAGACCGTCTGTTATGCAGAATGGGGTCATGCATTGACGCAAGGGACGAGCGATTGACCGGAGCTGGTTGGAGGCGTGCAAGCTTCTCTATGTCGTCTGTAAGCGTCACTGTGCATTTGCATCTCTTCGCGCCTGTGTCTGTTCTGGTGTTTCAAATGCCCTTATAGTAGATTGACGTTCAGCATGCTCAATGAGTCTGTATTGAGTTTTATCAGGTGTTTCCGCGGCTCTTAAGGCGGCCTGTCGTTCCGCTTGTTCGAATAGCCTTTGCTGATTTTGAGCAGGTGTTTCAGTAGCTCTTAAAGTGGCGAAGCTTCCATAAAAGCCGAAAAGCCGGACTTGCCTTATTAAAACTGAATCAATCAATAATATCAATCAATAATATCAACTAATAAAATAACTCGTAATATGTGTCAAGCTATTTCAAATTTCCCGCGCACTCCACTGTTCGACACATGTCGACCCGAATTGCCTTAGCGATACCGCTGCCGTCATAAAAAATGAGTTTTAATAGAGCGATTATTTGTCTCCCTCGCTCGCGTGGGCTTTTTACGGGGCTTTCGAGAAGACGATAGCTCTCTTTCTAACCTATGGCAAAATATTCTATAATGAAATATAACTACGATTGTATATATAGCAATTAGTATGGAGATGTAAAGCCAGTCTTTTGGGAATTAATAAATTAAAAGCGGAGGCGCGCGGGCAATACGTTTGCAAGTTAATTTCACATTTTAATGTTTATTTACTCTGTGTGCTTATCTTAAGCGATTTAATATTACGAGTTCAAAATTTATGCTTTTTTAAAGATTTTTAATGAAAATGGAGGATAATAGTGTTCCTTGTGATGAATTGAAGTGTGTTAAAGTGCTAATCGGAGAGGAAATCTTTAAAATTTGTGGAGATAATACACAAGGTTAAGAGTGTATTTCAGACTTATCAATTATCGCAATTAAAAAACAGTTATTGGTACAATTAAAAAGTTCACCAACATTTTACGTGGACGTGATTAAATCTTTCCATAAGAAAGCGAGACGATTCCACCTATCTTATCTCTTATCCATTAGAATGTAAATATTTTTTTTTTTAATTTTGTACATAGTTTGTTTGTACTTTGTTCATGTTTTACTTTTGTTCATGTATTGTATTGGATGTAAATATTTTTTTCTTTCGCTTAAACAAACCCAAACGGCTTTCTTCAAAGCCACCGAAGC